CCCAGCATGGGTCTCAGGCCAAACCTATACCCTTGAGAATACCCCCAGAAAGTCCTATGGGGTCCAGGCAGGGAAGCTATTTTGATCCAGCTTCTTGAAGGACCTGGCGGCCCAGCCTCTGCCTCATAGAAGTCAATCAGTCCCAGAGCAAATGGTCTCAAGGACCGCTTGGTGAGCTGAGGTGACCTCCGAGAATTGTCATTACCCTCCCTGAGGCCATTTCCCACTCCCCTCCCCACCCAGGAGGGCGCTCTCTGATTAATGCTATGATGCTTCTGAGCAGCCGTCTGCATATACTGCTTCATCCTCTGTGATATGAACCAAAGAACACAAAATCTGGAGACAACACTGAACGACGTGCCTCGTTCTGACTTGACAGCTTTCACATCTGTGTCAACCTGTCTTTCCCCACTGAGGGATCATCATGGCTTCAGCCTCCTTTCTAGTATAGTAAACATCCATCAGTGACTCAAGCCAGATAGCGGTTGCTACCCAAACTGCGCCTTATTCGGGCTCTCTTGTGACCCCTGAGTCATCATTCACACCAAGCGCGGGCTCCGCTCCACCTGACAAGGCCTCCCATCCCCTGGCTTCTCGCCAGGGCTGCTCTCAGCCGGGGCCAATTAGCACCCTCTACCCCCGCCCCGGCCTCTGCCATCTCGCCCACTCAGGCAGGCAGAATTGAGAGGGAGAGTTCAAGACCCGGGAAAAATGAGCAAGCTTTGGGAAACAAGAGAGCCTGCAGACTGGGAGCCCTTCACGCCATTTTAAGGCCACTCCTGCAATGAGAGCAATAAAAGAAAGCAATTTATGCAATTTAGAAGCAAATGGCCCTTTCATCTGTTGAATGCAAAGCGCACTCCACTGGAGAGGAGAAGCCGAGCCGGCTCGCCGCAGAGAAAAGGCCTGCCTTGCTGAGCCGCGGCTCCTGAATCAGCACGAGCTGGAGCTGGAGCAGAAAATCGCCTGGTGAATGCAAGATTTCCCTTTACGCTTTGTGTCTCGTGAATGTTCTCTTCCAGGGGGCCGGCTCTGGGCGCAGTCAGGAGGCAGGAAGGACTTAGTTACTGCCTGCTGGTGTGATGGATAAAGTTAGGGACAAGAAGAGACGCTGATAGCAGCATTCAATCCCTGGGATCATTGTCGGGGATAAGAGCGAAGATCTGCTGTCACCAAAAAAAAAAAAAAAAACCTCTATCAATGTAATGGCCACATGAGGCCACTTTCCTCCCCTTCATGTCGCTAAGTTTTGAACCCGCTGGGTCCCTGCTGCCCCAGGGTGGTTCAGAGACCACTCAGCATTAGAACCATTTGCCAGCTTGTTAGAAACGCGGATGGTTGGGTCCCACCCAGAACTACTGAATCAAAACCTGTGTTTTAACAAGCTCCCCTGTGCTAGCTGAGCAATACCCTTGAGGCCCGCCTGTCGTGGGGAGACAGCTGGGGGCAGAGGGGAAGAGACGAGCCGGGAAGGCACTTTCCTTTGCAGGAGAGAGGGGCCTGTGAGTAACACAACAGCTCTTCCTACCTGCGGGGACCCTGCTGAAATCATGACACCTCAGCAGTGAGTCAGCGGTGGGCTCTTCCTTCTCGCTACTAGCAGGTGCCTCCTCCCTCCGCATCCTATCGGAGTGCGATGACCTGAGCCCCGCAGGTACGCAAAACTGTGTGTTCTCTTTCATCTGTTGGAAACCATACTCCTAAGGTCTTCACGGAGCCTCTGACTGTACCAGAGTGGGGCGGGGGGGCCCTCAGCCCGCACTCACTACCACCCACTTTCTGGGTGCAGGCCTCATAGCCTCAGCCGTGTGAGACCCGCAGGGTGAGCCACCTTCACCACCGAGGCCCATGGCACACTTCCATGGATTGGCCCCCTTTCAGTTTTTCCACATTGCTCCCCTCCGCCCCGAGTGCCAGGAGCGAAGAAAAGTTATATTACCAAATGTTATTTTAGAGGAAAACCTCCCAAGATTTTTTTTTTCATCTTGCAAATATTTGGGGAATGTCTGTGCTGTCAAGACTGTGAAGAATGTCTGCTTCAGGATCCATCAACGGCATTTAAGAAAATCAATCTCTGATGTGGTGAATGTGCAAAGTGGAATCTCTGAAGAAGTAGGGCTTTTGTTTTTGTGCTGAAAACCACAGGCGTGCACGTGTTCCTAGCCTCTCAGAGCATGCTGCTGGCGGACCCCCCCCCCGCCCCTTTCTGTGCTTCGAAGGGGCGCTCAACGTGGGAAGGCTTATTGGTTTGAGCAGAGATGTGTCAAAGTTGGATTTTTTTTAAAAAGCACGGCTGGTGAGAAAGTTATATGAATGTCATCTTTAAGGCATCTTTAAGCCATAGTACAGAATGTGTGGTCATTTTCAAGTACTGGGGATTTGACAGTAAAGGGACACTAGGGTCCTAGCCTATGAGGTTGGCCGAGGCCCTCATGCTCTATCCCCGAGGCCAGCACAGTCCTGCCACACTGTAGGCCCTCCGGACATGTCTGTGGCTGAAGGATTAAAGAAATGAGAGAGCTGGAGGGCAGCCACCAGGCAGCGAGTGCTTCTCAGAGCGCCTCACCTGCTTTTCTCTGCAGGGTGATATCAGGCACCCCAAAAGACTCTGAACGCTACCTATCAATTGAGAATGAAAATGGAACAATGAAGATTTGGGGGAGAGTGAGCCATAACAACCTGCAGTCCTCCTGGTCCACTCAAGTGGCTATCTTATCCTATTGACTGGGGCCTGCCATAGGCCATCTTCCCTAGAGTAACAGAACTTGAGACAGGGATTCTTGAGCAAGTGATTTACAGAGAGTGCTCCCAGGAAAAGCAGAGTGAGGGAAGCAGGATGGGGCAAGGGGATGACTAGAAGGGTGTGGCCTCCCTGAGAAGCTCGGGGAGCACAGATGACACCCTAAGTTGACCGCACGTTGAGGCAAGGCAGCATCAATAGTCAGTGAGTCATGGACAGGGTAGTAGAAGGGATGGGTAAGAAGGAGGGGAGTTGGGGGGTGGGCAGATGAGGCATATTGGCCCTAAAGGGGGTCTGGATGGGGCACCAACATCTACATTCCTCAAGTCCAAGGTGCAGTGGGCCTACCTGTCAGAACTTTGTAATATACAAGTTGATTTTTGCAGATTTTAGAAGAAATTGTAATATCCCTTCATCTGAAAAACCGCCCCCTTCTTGCTCTGTTTTTTTTTCTCCACCGCATTTATGACCATCTCACATGCTATAAAATTCACCTATCTTTAGATTTACTAGTAGCTTATTATCTCTGCTCTCACACACTGGAATGTAGACTCCATGAGGAAAGGCATTTATATCTCTTTTGATGGATATATCCCAAAAATAGTGCCTGACACTTCGGAAGTGCTGGGTAAGTGTGTGTCAATGAAAGAGTATTCTGAAGAACATATTCTGCCTGGTGTTGCTCATTTTGCGATGATTCTTTGGGTCCAAAGCAATCAAATTCCAACCTGTGTGAATAAGCAGGGAAGTCTAACATTCTGGAGGGATCAATCATAGAGCCCCATGAGTCTCAGATTTCAGGGTGTTTAAAAACCATGTGAGGATCTTGTTGACAGTGGGATTCTTGGTCCCCCTACCCAAAGATTCTGATTCAGTAGTTCTCGGAGGGACCTAAGAATATGCACTTTAAAAAAGCATGACCATTGATTTTGACGTAGGTGACCTGAGGCACGGACTTTGAGAAACACTGATGCGGTCTGAAACACTCGTTCAGACAGCTATTAATAGCTTCCCCAGAGTTGCTCAGCCACAGGGTTAGGCTCTCCTCACTCTCCGTGCAGCATGTTTTCCACTCAGTCTCTCTTAGTATATGTTTGTAAGCTTTGCACGTACAGTGATTACCATGGGGACATACAAAGCTTGATGAAATTCTATCACTCTAGCCGGGCTTTGAGGCATCGGTGGAGAGCTGTCTTCAGAAACATTTGGTTTCAGAATGTACTGTGGCTTGTATGCCCCTATGCTCCTCCAGATTCTTTTAAAATTGTAAAGGTGCTTTTGTGATGTCCTGATGCCATCTCATTTGACAGGGGGGAACACAATGAGAGCCAGGAGCCAGGGCTCTTGCTTGGCCTGATTTGGTGCATGTACTAAAGAGACACAGAGAGGTTGTAGGAAAAATCTGGAATGAGGTCATGTGATTTAATGCATGGGGAAGAGTTTCAGGGTGGCTCCAATGGAGGACATTAACTGATTAGAAGTCAGTGAACTAAAAACCGAGCTGTCTTGAGGAGAAATTTCACTGAGACTGAATGAATGAATGAGTATTCGTTTAAAGACATTTCAATTAAAATTTTTTTATTTACCACAAATCCTCTGGTTGTGAGCATGGACCATCCTCAGAAGGAATGTACTTGGGATGGGGGTTAGATTCCAGAGGGACGATGGTGGTCAATACCTTATCGCTCAAGGATAAATCCTTAAAAGAATTACATTACCATGTATGGCACATATAGGGGGCCAGGTTCTGTTTTAAGATTTATGTATTATCGCATTTGATCTTCATGACAATGGTCCGTGGTAGATACTATTATGTCCATTTGACAGATGAGGACACAGAAAAGCAAGTTGCCTAAATTCACACCCTTCTAAAGTCTCTGAGCTAGGACTTGATCCAGACAGTCTGTGTCCAGACCTATGCCTTGAAACAACCACTCCTCCCCCATGTATCTGAAATCTAACAGGGAGACTTCTGTCTTCCAGAGCATGGCCCTGAGGGTGGATGAACCATTTAAAAATGGAAACTGGAACACAATCGAACTGCTCATGTGTGTGTATGTGCGTGTGCGTGCGTGTGTGCGTGCGCGTGTGTGTGCGTGCGTGTGTGTGTGTGTTCGTTGCGGGGGGGGGGGGGAGAAGGAGGAGGGAAGCACCGAAAAAGGACTCAGGAGCACAGAAATATCCAGGGTGGATTTCAAGCCTTTCACTCTGGGGTTGTAGGACCTAAATTCTCTCCTCCTCTCCTCTTTGACATAAACAGAAAACTTACAGTGCTCATTACTGCCTTCGTCAGACGGATTCTTTTCTGGGAGAGGAGCTGGAAGAAGAAAGAGGAGTGAGTTGCCATCTGGTTTCGCCGAGGAAGGAAGGCACTGGGTTGAAGAATGCAGTTTCCCTTGATGGTCATCGTGCACTATGCGCCCTGCACGGCGCAGGAGTATCAGGCTTGGGGAGGGGCTCAGTCCCGATCCCAAACCTCTGTGGGTTGTGGCTGGAAGCTTCGGGAGGAGTCATGTGGCCTTGGCAATAAAGACTGCACCGAGGAGGAGAGTGTGAGAGGTTGGCTTGGGGGAGGAGACAGCTGTAGGCCAGAAACTAAAACCGGAGCTGGTGACAACAGCTTGGACCAAACCTCAAACCAGAGAGTGAAGAACATTATTTTCATATATTTGCCACAAGCTAGAGGCTGTGTGAGCAGGGATTTTTCCAGAATTCATCCTAAGTGGAGAGAGGCTAGAGGTGGAAGAGGAAAGAGAAGCGAGTCTAACTCCTGTTGGTGCAGAGTTCCTCCATGGCCCTTGTGTTTAGTGATATGACACTCTGCTCTGTGCGCCCCCATGCCCACCAGGCCACATTCAATGTTGTCATTGTAGCTCAGTGCTTTCCTCCCTTTGCCGTTTAAAGGTGAGCAAGCAACTACAGATGTACACAACTGGTGTACTTCAGGCATAAATAACATGGCTTCTGGTTTGTTTGTTTGTTTTTAAGATTTTCTTTTTAAATAATTTCTACACCCAACATGGGGCTGGAACTCATAACCCCAAGGTCAAGAGTCTCAGGCTCCACTGACTGAGCCAGGCAGTGCCCCTTGTTTGTTTTTTATTTTCCAGTTCTCTGTTTATTTTTGAAGAGTGAAATTAATTTTTTTTTTCAGGCAGCACGACATTGAGGGTTTAGAAAGGATTTTGGTCTGGGAAATGTACAACTGACATGAAAGAGTTTATCAAACCTGATAGTACGTTTTGGCCATTATGAGCTAGACTCCAGAGAGCAAAGGAGAGGGGTTACCACCTGATGCCAGGTGACAGCCAAAGGGAGTCAGGAATCAGGGTTGAGGCTGGGGCCACTCTGGAGGGCCAGAGCAGTCAGGCCAAGGGGAGGGTTCCTGGACTCCCAGTAACTCCCCTAGAGGGGGACACAGGGTGTGATGCGGAAGGCTCTGTGGGGCTGACGCAGCACTGCAAACAGGGTCTGCTGGCGCAGCTCCTTGAATATGCTTTACCTTGTATTTTGATAACTGACCTTCCCATGCCTCTCATGCCTCTTGTTCTTTGACCTCCTGCCTCTGGAGGTGCCTGCTTTCTGCTTGCTTGCCTCCTTTACCACTTTCTAAATGGGCGAGACCTCTTACGTAATAGTTAAGGGCTCAGGTCAATGGTTCAGGGGAAAATGGCTCAAATTGAGCCTGGGCTGACACTCAGCAGGTGCACACAGGTCTGGAGTACCGGTTGTTAAACACTTTGACCATGACCCCTGTCAGACCCATGACCCTGGAATTACACTCAGCCCGAGAAATGCTGGCCCTGCGGAAGGCCAGCCAGGAGAGGGGTCACTCTTGCCCCACCCCCACTCGTCTTCAGGATGGCGCTCGTCATCCACATCATTTCAACTGCTGTTTTCTTTCTCCTGTTGTCCCTCTCTTTCCCTTTCTTGCCTATATTGTTGGATACAAAGTGAATGAAATGTGGTTGTGATGTGCCTCGACTGTATTTCACCTTGATCTTTATTCCTGTGTATGTCTAGGTCTGGGCTTTCCCTCTGGCTGCTAATCCATGGCTCACGTCATACCCTGTCAACTTGCCACTAACACACCCATGTCAGCTCTGTTAACACCGACGCAGGATACTCTGTTTTGAAAACAATGCTGGTAGCAACATCCTCCGGCTTTGTCATTCTGTAACATCTGGACCCAGGAAGGGACGCCTATCTCCCATTCACCAAAACAGGTTTCAGATCCCCTCATGAACACTGAGTGTGACCATTCATCACTAATAGATTTTAGTTATAAAGAAGGTTGCCAGATTTAGCAAACAAACAAAAACCAGAGCATCTAGTTAAATGTCCGTTTTAGATAAGCAACAAATAATTTTTTAGTATAACTTTGTCCTATGCAATATTCAGAACCTGTTTATAATAAAAAATTGTCTTGTTTATTTAACCTCCGAGGTTAAGTATTGTATCTGGCAACCCTCACCACAAGCAAACCGGAGTACCGGCTTAGCTAGCTGAGAAGTCTAGAGGCTGGCCTGCCTTCGGCACAAGCTGGTGCCGGGGCCTACCGGAAGTCACCAAGAAAGTGCCTCTCTCCTCAGGTAAGGGTCTCTCCCTGTGCTGACAAGATAGCGGCTGTCTTCCAGCCTCATATTCTTATTCTGAGTTGACCAAAAGAGAAACGTTGTTTTTCCGAAGGCTGCCCCCAGACGACTGAGATCCATTCCAGGGAGGTCGGGTTAGGTCACGTGTCCGCTACTAAGCCCATCCGTGTGGTCAAGGAAACGAGATACACTGATTAGCCGCTTCGGCTGGTGAGGGGGAAAAGGACTCTGGGAAGGCGGACGATACGCATCCTCGCCGCTCGCCAAATGGGAGCCTGCGCTGGGCAGGGTTGTCTTGCGAAGGCCTGGAGGGAAGGAATGTGGGGAAGCCCAGGGCAGTGCCCGCAAAGCTGCTGTGACCAGCCACTTCCTGGAGCGGTGCAGCTGCCCTCTCTCGCCCCTCTTCCCGGCCTCTGCTGTTCCCCGGTTTGCCTTGATCGAGGCAACACTTGAGACAGTTTAAGAATGTTCTGGACAGGGGCGCCTGAACGGCGCAGTCGGGGAAGCTCAGGTCCTGATCTCAGGGTCATGGGATGGAGCCCGGCGTCGGGCTCTGTTCTGGGTACGAGGTCGGCTTGAGATTCTGTCTCTCCCTCTGCCCCGCTCTCCACTCTTGCGCCTGTGCTCTCTCATGCTCAATCTCTCTCTCTCCCTCTCTCTCAAATAAATCTCAAAGAAAAAAAAAAAAGAAGTATCTGGACTGAATGTTTGTGTCCTCCTCCGCCCCACCCCAAATTCATTATGTTAAAATCCTGACCCCCATGTGGCTGTATTTGGAGATGGGCCTCTAAGGAAGTAATGAATGTTAAATGAGATCATAGGATGGGGCTCTAATCTGATAGGATTAATGTTCTTTTAAGAAGAGACACCAGAGAGCTTCCTCCCACCCACACTCACCCCTGCCCCCAGCACAGGGCAAGAAGGCAACTGTCTATAAAGTTAGGAAGGGAGCTCTCACCAGAAACTGAATTTTCTGACACCTTGATCTTGGGCTTCTAGACTTTACAACTGTGGGGGGGGGTGCGGGGGGCGGAATGTCTGCTGTTTAAGCCACCCTGACTGTGGTATTTTGTTTATGGCAGCCCAAGCAGACTAACACAAGGACTCTGGCTGAATCTTGGAAGGGCAACTATATTTTCACATAACGCTACTAACAGAAAAGGTTTTTCAGGACATCAAATGACCCAGAAAGACATGATCTACCAGATGGCCTTTCTGTGTATCTGTTTGCAAGGACAAATGGTTTAGGATGCTGTTAATCCTTAACCTGAGATTACATTTTAAGAGACTGCTTCAGATTTGTTAAGTAATTTTTAAAGATACAGTTTAAAGGATTGTTTCTTTTGAAAATCAAAAATAGGAGACTAGGAATTACTACAGTAAAGGTTCTGTGTGCAGAACTAAGTGAGGAAATTAACCACCAATAAGTGTATTAACCAGTATTTTTCTTTAAATAAAAAAAGTTTAAAGACTAAAAGCCTAAGAAATAAAATAGAAGTTTATTTCTCTTTCATATGAAAGAAGTCTGGAGGAGGTAGTCCCAGAACTGATATCTTCATAAAGGCGTCAGGGATCTAGCCCTCTCACTGCCCTTCTATTCTTGGCGTAGTGTACCTCATGATCCAAGAGGGCTGCTTAAGTGCCAGCCATCATATCTGCATTACAGCCAACAGGTAGGAGGAAGGGACAAAGAGCATTTAAGGACATCTTAAATTTATATATGACACCTTCACTTACATCCCGTTGGCCAGAACTTAATCACATGTCCACATCTATCAGTAAAGGAGCAGGGAAATGCAGTCTTTATTCCAGGTGGCCTTTTCCCCAGGTGAAAATTGGCAGTTCTATTAGTGAGAAAGAGAGAATGGCCATTAGGGCCAAATAGAAATCTTTGAGCCACAGACAACTGGAAAATTTTTCTTATTATAATGAGCATGAAACATTAGAATGCTCTTACAAGAGATATTTTAAAATAAGACTTTCAACAAAGATACCAAACATGAACAATTTGTAATATTCCAGGTTTTCTTCCTATCTTTGTTAATTTTATCATTTTATATAGTTATGGTCAATGTCTACTTGTTACTTGAGTGGTTGTAATTAAATGTTATTTCATATAAACATTGCCAATATGGTCGTAATTCACAGTTGTAGTTTTACTATCCTATCATGTTAATTTAACATAGTTTTAAATAGTGGATGTGGGATAGATGAAATGAGAGTGGTAAAATGTTGATAATTTTTGAATTTGCTTGATGGTAAAGGACGTCCATTATTCTGTTATCTCAACTTCTATGCATGCTTGAAAATGTCCATCATAAAAGAGTTTCCATATGTATCATAGTTTCCCTACAGCAGACAAGTGTTGAAAGAAGAGAATAGACTGCTAGGCTTTCTTTTTGCAGTTAAAATACTTAGAGGAAAGAGGAAAGATAGTGGAGAACCCTCTTGCACTTTCTTCCATCTTCCCTCAGAGCTTAAACAAATTTCATTCAGAAGGTTGGTCTCAATCTATTTTTATTTTTATTTTTTAAGATTTATTTATTTATTTATTTGAGAGAGAGAGAGAGAGAGAGAGAGTAGGGGGAGGAGCAGAGGGAGAGGGGCAAGCAGACTCTACGCTGAGCATCCAATGAGGGGCTCGATCCCACGACTCTGAGATCATGACCTGAGCTGAAAGAGTTAAATGCTTAACCGACTGAGCTACCCAGGCACCCCAGGTTGGTCTCGATCTAAAAAAGCTAATCATAAAACTCTTTTGTTCAAGGCCAGTGGTACTGTATTATACTTTAGGAGGATTCATTTCAACAGGGGATACGATCTTTCATAAAGTTTTCCTTGTCAGAAAAAAAATGTGTAGAGAGGTGTTGGGTATGATTCAAGCCCCACCCCCAACATGTATCAAGAACCCGTTCTGAGTTCTTCTGGGGATACAGAGATAAGTGAGACCATCATGGCCCTCAAGCAGCTCATAGTCTGTTGGGAGAAGCAGACACATGAATAGATGGTTATAAGATAATGTGGTTAGTGTACTGACAGAGCTATACACAGCATATCATGACTATACAAAGCATATTCATAAAAAAATAGTTCATTTTGAAAATGTTGCCTTCATTGAAAGAAACTCAATACAGAGTGGTATTATACAGTTGAATATGTGCCCACTATGACCCCACTAACCCAAAGTACAAAGATGCTTTTAAAACAAATGGAATTTGCAAATGTTAATATATTCCACATACTTTAAATGGTAGTACGACTTTACCACAAATTCCTCAGTGCAATCAAAAGAAATGTGATATTTAATGAGGAAAGGCCTTTAATGAAGCCACTGCAAGATAAGTTATTATGTAACCTGATGCTCAAATTCACAGAAAATTTTTTCAAATAAATATGATAGATTGAAATTGTTAAATAAGTCTTTTTGGATAAAGCAATTAGTGCAATGACTGGGACAGGAAACATTTGTGAATGAATGAATGGATGGATGAATGAATGAAAGCTTGTAAGAACGCTTGGGTTCTAATCTTGGCTTTGTCACAAAGTAACCAAGTGTTCTGGATAGTCAACTAACCTCTCTGGGAATTTATTAGGGGGTAAAATGTACTGAGGGTTTCAAACTTTATTTAGCCACATCACCCTTTGTTCCAGTGAAGTGTTGAGGGGTGGCTTTAGGTGGAGGTTCATGCGCATGCGCGCGTGCGGGCATCTCTGTGTGTGTGTGTGTGCGCACGCGCACGTTGTATGTCAGAGGTATATTCTTGGTTTCTTCTCATGTTCCCCTCCCCTGGTGATCTCAGAGTCACCTCCTGCCACGAGCAGAGTTTCTGAGAGCCTCTAGTCGGGGGAATCCCTGAAGTCAGGTCCCACTCTAACACTGGATGATCCTATTACTGTAAACCATTTAGCCATAGACTACTAGTTGAGGGAATGTCAAAGGAAAGACCATCTGTGGAGAAAGAAGGTGGAAAAGTGGGACATTTTGAACTGATCAAACCTGGTAGCATGTCTGAGAAGCCAGGAACAAAAGACCAGACAGCTTTTTATCCTGATTCGCTTTTAGATTAGGTTCTTCAATGACGAGAATATAAATCAGGCTAGGTCCAGAATTAAGACCTTCCAGAAAGATCCAGGGGGCAATATCACCAGCATAGCTGGGTTTTCTCAGCCCTCTCTGTTTAATTCTTTCAGCCAACACATCACAGAAAACTGTGGGCTTCAGAAAGTGGTGCCTATTAATACAAACACAGCCTGCCCTACTGATAACAGATGTGGTTATAATGGGAGCTGAGTGAACAGAAACACATTTCCCCAACTCCAAACCTCAAATACATTTTCATCATCTGTAACAGCCTGAAATGCTGGCTCAGAGCAGATGCTTTTCTTTGCTCATTTGTAGACATTGCTTCAAGCCCTACTCAGGAAAGGAGAATCTGAGGTCTCTGCGGGCCAGTATCCAGGAGATGGCCGGACTGCAGAGCCTGCCTCTCCCTTACTTATAGGAACTGCTTTGGGGCTGGTGCTACAAAGGCTTTTTTGTTTATACAAAGCTACCCTGAGATAACACTAAGTACACATTTCTCAAAGAAAGGTTCCAGAAAGCTGAGCATTGCTGAGCTGAGCCTTAACAGTCTTATGACTGATGCCTTGGCCAAAACCACCTCCATAGTGCTCAGCCACGAACTTCATCCTGTGTTAGTGCAAAACCACATTCTATCTGGAAATAGCCTTGAGGAACTCACACAATAAGAGACTGAACCCCAAAACTATACTCTCCCAGAGACAAGCCACCCACAAGTGATCACTTTGTCAGCGCTGACAGCTTTTCTGGAAAAGAGTTTGAGAAATGACCACATGAGGATGCATACTAAGTCAGCAGCAGAGGCCTGATCTGAGCTTCTGGCTCTCAATCTTGCACTTAATAAACTAGTCCAGCCCTTTCTTTGTACAAATTTACTTCTTTAGAATGTGGGGAGAAACCAGTTGTCAACAGTGTG